CGGCCAAGGAGGTCGAAGGCACCCCAGTGTGTATTTTGGGCTTCTTTGAGACTTGGGCCACTGTATTTGGGCTTCGAATGTTCCTTGGGCTCAATGGGCCTGTGTAGGAGAAGTAGGAGTCTATGGGCCCGGGGTTCCCGGGCCTTATACTCCATCACTCATATTAATACAAATAACCTCAAAAAGGTTATTTTCCGGCGAACCGGTCGTTTTGGCTCCTAAGTCCGTTCTTGGAAATAGAATCACCTTCCAACCCATAAATCCATACTTATAACATGTGGAACCATACTAATGGTCCTTCATATGGTATATACCTCATATGGTAGAAGAAAAATAAAGGAGAAGTTATAATAAGGTCATTACATACCTTAATTATTCACATTTTTTCCAACTTTTTCCCTCTTTAATCTTCCTCCTTGGACTACTTTAGGTTGAGCTCGAATTTTGGCTATGGAAGATGATTTGCATAGCTCTCTCCTTCCTCCTTTTGCTTGGTTGGTCGAGAATGATAGATGAAAGATGGTGGAGAGGTGGTTTTGTCTCATCTAACCAATGAGTGAATGGAAAGGGGCTCATTAGCTTTCAACCATGTTCCTCCCATCCAATCATCCATCCTTCATGTGCCGTTATGGCTTTAATTAGTCAAATCTTGCACACAAAAATGTGGGATGGCCCCCACCCATGTGGGAGGTCATCCGAAATCGCCCCGAAATGTATATTCAGCCTCGAAAGTTGTATTTCTCTGATTAATAATTCATCTATCTTTCAGGTTCTTGATTGATAAAATTCCTATTTTGTTTAGAATAAAATTCCTATTTTTATCATCCAAAATTGTAGAGATAATATTTTTGTCATTTTAAAAGGGAAAACCCCCTAAATAAGAGTAAAACATGGTAATAAATTTAACATAGCAGTCGGTATCTAAATCCCTTAAATAGGGCTTATTGCTTGTGATTAAACAAAATACCCTCATAGAGTTCTCAGCTTGGTCTTCGCACTAATGTCGTCGGCCGACTGACTGGTGGTACTCTGCCGCTGGACCGCTGCCTACCAAGGGTTCGGTCCTAAAAGGTCAACCTAATAAGAAGAGTAGCTCAAAGTCTTATATAGTGTTTTGTTGTTTTATAGTTTTCTGGTGTGGGACAAATACTTTAACACGCCCCTCAGCCTGAACCGGACTGGACAATATTGGGTGTATAAATGGGTCAAACATACCCTTCACAAGTCACCCATAATCATGAGTGTAAAACAAGTGACTCTGATACCAATTTAAACCTCGGGGTTTCACCCTTAAAGGTTAACCGCATAGGAGTAACCCAAAATCTTATATATTGTCTTATTATTTTATAGCTTTACAGTAGTTATCTAAATTTCTAAACTAATCAAAACCTTAATGGTTAAGTTACTTGGAAAATGAAAACAAAATAACTTATTTAGAGTATATATTAATTACAATTCAATGCATGTAATAATATATACCCGGGGATCTAAGAGCTAAAACAAGTATGTACTAGGTAAAATATTTTATGTTGCTTTTCAAAATTTTCATGTGAAAGTCAGAATCTTAGAACTGTCAAAAGTTGGACTGGCGAAAGGCTTTACTCAGACTATAACCTGCCGAACTTGTGTGTGACGTTACAAGCATTGCAGAGAGAGTGCGTCCCCATCGGACCTCTCCACCACTGAGGCTTCTCAATCGCCTCATAGTGACTGCACTTCCTCCCCGTCTCCTTCATTTTATTTGTCTTCTTTTTCTTTGTAGGGTTGCCTTTTCATCTCTGTTTGGAGATACTCAATCCATCATCCATACAAGTCATGTTTGTCAACTTATTTCTCTCGTGTTCATCTTCCGACGACGGATGGTGGACGTTGATCAACATCGGGGCCATAGACTGACCATCTTCGGCATCTGTCGGTCGCCTCCTATCGTCATCTTTGACGTCCTCGGTAGTACTTTCACCATGTTTCAGGGAAGAAGGGAAAGAAAGTAGAAGGTCCATAAGACAATCTTAATCAAGCCCCAGAATCTTTCCATGTTAAGTGCCCGCCCGATATTCAACAAATCAACACACTGTTGCAGGGTTGCTCTGATACCGCGGTATCATGCTAACACTCCGACCCCGCGAGACCCAAGGTATTTACTCTTAGATACTCTTCAACCCTCTAGTACTGTCATCACAAACCAACACAAGCCTTATCGCACACTTTGTCCTTACTTGTGCACGCCCTACGAAACTTTCAAAGGGTCACCCATCCCAAGACCACTCCCTTCTAAACACACTTAATTTGGAGTTCTTAGCTAATGAGCTCCTTTAAAAGGAGATGCACATTATTAGTATGAGTAGTGTTATTAATCCCTTTAAATTAATCTCGAGTATTATAGTTAAACATTGACAGACTTTGACTTTACATCCCATTTTTAATGATAATTGACTTTGCATTCTATTTTCAAAATCATTAATATATGCACTTTATTTCACTATAAAATCATTTGACTTTGCATCTCTCTTTTTCATAACTGTTGGGCTGACGAAGTGCAAATATTAATGATTTTATGAATGGGTTGCCCAAAGTCCAATATCACCCAAAACATGGGTGCAAACTCAAATTCCCCATAGGAGGAGGAGGAGGGAGGGGGGGAGGAGGGGGAGGGGGAGGAGGGAGGGGGAAGGAGGGGGAGGAGGAGGAGGAGGAGGAGGAGGAGGAGATTTAAACTTGGAGGCGACGAGTTAGAGGATGATACCGCAGCAACGATTAAATCAGCACGGTTCGCAATTAAAATAACAGGGGACATAATGAATATAAATATAATAAGTCTAGTTTGGGCTGCTTTAATGGTAGTTTTTACTTTTTTCTTTCATTAGTAGTATGGGGAAAGAGTGGTGTATAGATGTCCCGCTAAATGGATTTTTGAGTAAATCAAATGTATTAATTAATTTTGTTATAGAATGTCTTAGAACACGTGACTAATCTGTTTTGCAATTTAAATTAATCTTCAAATAAAACATATTGTTCAAACATAAAGAATGCAAATAGTTGGTGGCCACAATTGAAGCAGGGTGGCAGCGATTGAAGTAGAGCGGGCGCTATTGAAGCGCGTACGTGGCCACGATTGAAGCAGGGTGATGGCGATTGAAGCAGGGCGATGACAGTGATTGAAGCAGGGCGGCGGCGGCAGCTTTTAGTGGTCAGTCGATGGCAACAACGATAAGCCTTGTGGCGGCGGTTTGACTTCTAAAATTATGGATTCTCATGGATTTTTAACGCATTCTTAGTACATTCTCTGCAATTGTCTCTTCTAGTCACCAAAGGTTTCCGTGGACTTTTCAGGTGTCTTTTATTTGTCACAAGTACACATAGATCTGGTTGCAGATTTGGTTAATTATTTAACAAGCTAAAATGTAGAAGAAAAACTCGATTGCACCGATGCTTGTACCAAATGTAGCACTAAGTGTAACGTTTGTGTAACGATTAATGTTCTTACTCATTGAGTTATGTTATTTAACAATTGATCATAAATAGACCGAGAGTGTTGAACATTCTCAAAACTTTGAGTTTTCTTTTTAATAAAAATAAGTTGGATTCTTATTCTTCATATTTTCTTGTAAAACTCTGTGTTGTTATATGATATACATTTGTTTAATTATTTTATTTAATTATTTATTACCATATTATACAGAGAAAATTACTCACGTACAGTAGGACTAAAATATAACACATTATCCCCAAAGTATGATCATATGTTTGAGTTCCCTTAAATATGACTAAATATTACTCCCTCCGTCCCCCTAAGTTTGGGACGGAGGGGTGTGATGTGGTTTTTAAGAAAAAGTGGAATTGTGTGGTTGATATTGAATTGATAAAGTGTAAATAAAGTAAGAATGAATTCTAACCACTCAAATGTTACCAAATATGGTATGGGACAAACTTAGTGGGACGGACGAAAAAGGTAAAACGGGACAAACTTAAGGGGACGGAGGGAGTACAATTTTACCCCTAATTTAATTAATTTAATTAGTATAATTAATTGCTCGTGGTTCCCTTGCATAACCAACGTCATTTTGTTGGTGACAGATCAGTCTGATGACGACGATAGAGAGCTCCGGTGACAGAGGCAGACAGGCAGATCGATAGAGGCGATCTAGGTGAAAATTCTTACCACCGACAATGGCGGTCCGAATTTAAAGGTCTATGGACTTTTGAAAGTCTATAAACTTATTCATGAATTTAAAAGTCAATAGAATTCATTCGTAAAGTCTATGGATTTAAAAGTCCATTGACTTTATTAAAAGACCATGGATTAAAAAATGTTCTCCACAATCCATATCCAATACATCCAATACATCCTTACATATATATATATACATCCTTACCTAGGATAAGGTTCAAGTGAGAAGAACCCTTTAGGTGAGAAGTGAGAATGAATCTCAGTCATTGGATTCGACTAAGTTGCAGTAAAAGACACTTCATGATGCACTGAAATATGCAATCTAGCACGGTGGCATTTCTGTAATACTTCTGAAAAATCCGTATTACACTTGTCTAATGCAACATGAAGCTATTTCGGTGCAACGCCGTCAAATTAGTGCAACATGAAACAGTTTTAGTGCAACATTGCAAAATTTAAATATTACTGCAACATAAAGCTATTTTTATTGCAACTTCATAAATCTAATAATGGCTGAGATTCATTCTCACTTGAACCAAAATCTATAAATCTATATATATGAACTCATATGGCAGTGAGTAGTAAACAATGAATATAATTCAAATATGAATCAAGTAGTAAAGAATATCAAAAATCAAAACGACAGCAATCTAAACATCTAAACTAATCTGGTAAAAAAACTTCTAAACTAATCAAAACCTTAATGGTTAAGTTACTAAGAGAATGAAAACAAAATAACTTATTAAGAGTATATATTAATTACAATGAATGTATAATAATATATACCCTTGATCTAAGAGCTATAAAAAATACTTGTATGTACTAAGTATAAATTTTTCTGCTGCTCTTCAAAATTTTCCTGTGAAAGTTAGAATGCTTAGAACTATCAAAACTTGGACTGGCGAAAGGCCTATACTCGGGCAATAACCTGCCGGACTTGTATCTGACGCCACAAGCATTACAGAGAGTGTTCGGTCCCATCGGACCTCTCCGCCATTGAGGCGTCTCCACCGCCTCGCAGTGAGTGCACTTCATCCCTGTTTTCCTCATCTTCTTTGCCTTCTTTTTCTTTGTCTTAGGATTGTTTTTTCGTCTCCGTTTGGAGATACTCAATCCATCATCCATGCAAGTCGTCTTTATCGGCTTACCGCTCTCATATTCATCTTCCGATGGCGGAGGGTGGGCTTTAATCAACGCCTGTGCCATAGACTCATCATCTTCGACGTCCTCGATAGTACTTTCACCATGTTCCAGAGGATAAGGAGAAGAAAGTAGAAGGTCGGTTATGGGGATAGCATCGTCGAAAAAGTTAGGGAAGAAGTCCAAATCATCCAAGCTATCTTGGGGTACGCACAACCCGCCGACGCCGCCGCGACTGGTCACTTTTCCTTCATCCACATCGCCGCCGTGACCCTCCCGGCGACATGATAAGGCATCTGACTTCGTTCTCGCCATAGTCTCCACGAATGAGTTATATAGAAGTACCAGAAGTACCAAATTTATAATAATGATATAGTATAACGAAAAAAAAATAAAATGTACGTTACGTACGGCGTACAGTACGATCTCAGTTAGAATGTTGGCTGATTAAGAGGAGCATTAGTAGCAATTTGACGCGTTTACGATGAATGGATAAAAACGTAACGCGGGTTGGTGGGTTTTTATAATTAAATATTGTGTTGACCGACCGCGGAGGTTGAAATTTGACGTCGTTAAGGATTCCATTTGTAGTAGTTGCCTTATATTAGTGCATTACTACGTAATTAATTACTCCTTTCCTTCCAAGTTAATGAAAGCGCATAAAACAGGATTGTACTTAACTATGAGGATCCTATTAATAGAATAAAACTTTATCAATTAGGAGTGGATGCATCATATTTTAGGGAAAATATAGTGATCTTTTTTTTTAGATAATTCCCTAAATAGGAGTAAAAAAGTTTTGAAATTCTAAAACAGGAGTATCATGTTTTTTATTCCCTGAATAGGAGTAAAGTTCTGCCATGTTTGACATTACAAGGCTTTAAACATGGAATTTTTTCCCAAACTTGGCAGATTACTCCTATTCAAGAAATAAAAAACATGATACTCCTATTTTGGAATTTTAAAACGTTTTTACTCCTATTTAGGGCAATTTCCGATCTTTTTTATGTATTTTCTCAATGTTTTAGTCACATTTAAAAAATTTACTCATTGTTTTTTGGTCTTCAAAAATATGCAACTTTATTCTTTTTGAATCAATGAGTTTATGTTTTCTACGTAGTATTATTTCTCTCTTCTTTATATAAATTTCAATCACACAACTTTAATATAGGGAGATTTCCCAATAGGAATAAATGCAGTTTGGAATTCGAAAATATGACTTTTATGTTTTTATTCTCAAAATAGGACTAACATGACAATATTTGTTGTCATCTTGTAGGCATGAGTGTCAAATAGTTGTTGTGCTACGTATTCAACATGGCAGCATTTATTATAATTAATGACACTAATTTTTCAATCATGACAGTATTTTCATTCATGGCATTAACGAGTCCTATTTATGGAAGAAAAACACAATAATCCTATTTTGGAATTTCAAACCGCATTTACTTCTATTTTGGGTATGCTCCCTATGCCCCTTAAAATTTTGTTCTCTTTCCGTTTTTTAGTGTCCAAGAAATTTTATCACTTTTCCAGACCATTTAATCAATTAATCTTTGAGTTATATTATTTCGCTTTTCACATAGTTTTTACTTTATTATTTCTCGTGTCATTCAAATTTCACAAATTTAAATAGCAGTGTGGCAGCCTCACACGTGTTGGCTATGGTTACAAGGAGAAAAAATAAAATTAATTAAGGAAGATTAGTTACATTTTTTGGCTAAATTTTCTAACTTGTCATAATATTTTTTCTATGTTATGACCAACATGTTTGATTTGAGATAGAATACTTTATTCGTAATTGCAGCTTATAAAAGGAAAAAGTATAATGTCCACCTTCGTCGTGAACCAATTATGATAAAATATATTCTCAATATGGTAGCAATTATTTGATTAATCAGGGCCAAACTTTTTTATGGTTTAATAATAATAGGTTATTTATATACGCCTAGTATGGTAGTTACTTTAATATCTTTTCATTTCTGGCTAATCAAAGGAATAATGATCGAAAATACCAAGTATATTTCTTATACATGCATTAATCACTATTCAGGGCCCAACTTTTTAAGGTTTAATAATAATAGGTTATTTATATACGCCTGGTATGGTAGTTACTTTAATGTCTTTTCATTTCTGGCTAATCAAAGGAATAATGATTGAAATACCAAGTATATTTCTTATACACGCATATGATCGACCTGTCAGCATTGGTTAGATGATTTGAAGATTAATGAAATGAGGTGTTAGATTATTTCAAAGATTAATACTAGTATTGAGAGAAAGAGAATATTTAGAGGAATTATATATTTAAAAAGAAAATTCGGTATCAACTATCAAGATTCAAATCCCGAATAATTGTAGATTATAGTTAAAATACATTTAATGCATGTCATAAAAAAGCTAATTATATGAATATTATTGTTGATGAATAATTTTAAGCTTTGAGATAATTCAGAATTTAATGCGTAAAAATGACATGACAATTAGGTGTACTAGAAAAACTGTTTATTTGGATACCACTTTGGCATTGGTGATGCTAAAAATTAAAATAGGGGTGAAAACAAGTCAAGCCCTTTTCCAACTCGAGTCAGACTTTTGCCTGAACCAACATGGGTCTATTTTAGAATGTGGAGGCCCGAGCCTAACCCTTTTCCCCTGAATAAATGCCTATTTTTTCGGCCTAGGCCCGGCCTGTTTAAAAGTCTGATCTGGCCTGGAGCCTATTTACTAGGCTTATTGAGAAGACCCTGTTATTCCACTTAGAATGTTTTTACTTGGACTGTAATTTGCTAGTCTGGTCTGGTCTGAACTGGTCTGGTCTGGTAAGGTCTGGTTTCTTTGTATTTTTATAAGGGAAAACTGTCAAATAGGTCCTTGAACTTTCATAAAAAGGTCAATTAAGTCCTTCTATAGGAGGTTCTGTCCGGCCGTCGCGATTTGAGACAGTTCCCGGTGGAATTTTTTGATGAAATTTTTTGAACATCTTATTCACCAAGTCTAGTTTACTCATACCAAATTTCAGCTAAAACTTCAATCGGGAACACATTCAAATTAATTCTTGAAGATAACTGCGCATTTTTGCGTTCTCGAATTAATTTGAATGCGCTCCCGATTAAATTTTTAGCTGAAATTTGGTATGAGTAAACTAGACTTGATGAATAAGATGCTCAAAAAATTTCATAAAAAAATTCCACCGGGAACTGCCCCAAATCGTGACGACCGGACATAGTCTCCTATAGAAGGACTTAATTGACTTTTTTATGAAAGTTCGAGGACCTATTTGACAGTTTTCCCATTTTTATAACTATCCAAGTCTGGTCTGGTCAGGTCTGGTCTGAACTGGTCTGGTCTGGACTGGTCTGGTCTGGTCTGGGACAAATTACAGTCCAAGTAAAAACATCCTTAGAAACAGGAATTTTGAAAGGACAGGAAAGCCCCAAGGTTGCTATCCCAATAGGTCAGCGGGCAGACCTCGGTAAAAAAAAACGAGAAATTCGCGGGTATATTCACAGCCCGCAAGGGGAGCTCTTTAGTCAAAAATAAAAATTAAAAAGTGACAAATCCTTTTAATGTGATATAAAAACAATTATCCCCTAAATAATAACAAAAAAACTAATAATATGTTAGTAATTTAGCTTAATAAATTTTTATGTGCTTCAATGATCCTAATAACCTATTAACACACTTTAAATATTTAAAATAGTACTCTAACTTATAATATGCACTCCATAAAAACACTTTCATGCCCAATATGTTATAGTCAAGTATACTAATATATAAAATTAAATTTAAATATTAATAATACAAATAAATACAAATATAACTAAATATATATACACATAAATAGGTCGGTCTGTTAAGATAAAAAGACTTCACAATCGGGCCACGTTTAACCTCTTTAAACAAACAGGGATTTCAAAAAAGCTCAAGCTAAGATATTGATTATTAAACAGGCCAAGTCAAGGCACGCCTTAAACAGGCCAGGTCGCAGGCCAGGTTGCAAGCCTCTGAGATCCCCTGGCCTATTTCCACTTCTACTCTAAACGGTTTACAATCTGCACATGTTCAATAAAACTTACAAAATTGCTATGGGTACCTCAAATGGTACCTCATTCATACCCCATATAAAAACTCTTCCCCATTTTTATCTCACTCCCTTTTCCATTTAAAAAATTTACCCCCAACTCTCTTCTTCCTTCCAAAACTCCACACCAGCCCTCTACCAACTCTCTCCACTCCCCTGCGACAACACCCTCCCCTCTTTCTCACTGTGACAACACCGGCCAACACTCCCCTGCGACAACACCCTCCGCGACAACACCGGCCAACACTCCTTCCGTCTCACCCTCCCCTTTTTTTTGTGTTTCGAACGGAGAGCTACAGTGCTAGGGCGAAAGGGGGTCATCCATGGACACCATTTACAACCCTCTTCAATGGAGTTGAGCTACAGATTGTCCACAGATTCCCCTTAGTATGCCTCTTTCTCCCTTTTTCATCTTTCTTCATTTTTTATTATTTATTTTTTTAATTCATATGTAATACTCTATATATCTTGTAATGTTAATGGTTGAATATCTTGTGTCATTGTGATGAATTTGTGATGTTTATTCTTACAATTTTAGTCCAACTATTCTAGGTCATTAATATGCCCATAACATGTTTGTTGAAATGCTTAAATGAATTTTTTGTTTATGTCCTCTTATGTTATAAGAATTTTGGATTTTTTTTACTAGTATAAGTTTCAACTTTAAATTGTGCATACTGTTGTCTGGTGTATTACTTGAAGTGCATATATGGTTGACTTCTCTTAGTAGTTGGTAATGAGTTAGTATTTTAAAAATTGTTTGTAGTTGTCTGTCATGTGAAATTAGTTGTCTGGCAAGCCATTTGAGTTGTCTGTTACTTCATTTTGAACTGTTACAACTAGGTTTGTAGTTGTCTGTCATGTGAAATTAGTTGTCTGGCAATCCATTTGAGTTGTCTGTCGCTTCATTTTGAACTGTTGAAACTTGGTTTGTAGTTGTCTGTCATGTGAAATTAGTTGTCTGGCAAGCCATTTGAGTTGTCTGTCACTTTATTTTGTACTGTTGAAACTTGGTTTGTAGTTGTCTGTCATGTGAAATTAGTTGTCTGGCAAGCCATTTGAGTTGTCTGTCACTTCATTTTAAACTGTTGGAACTAGGTTTGTAGTTACCTGTCATGTGAAATTAGTTGTCTGGCAAGCCTTTTGAGTTGTCTGTAGGGTATTCAATTCAACCTTTATTACAATACACAAATCTTATGTTTTAAGGATTTTGGATTTTTGTTTTACTAGTATAAGTT